CCCATAGCTTCATTTTCTATGCAGTCTTCTTTACTCTATGATCTATTGTAAAGTTGACATTCTGCACATTTGCCACTTTTTCCAGTACGTTTATACTTTATATATAGAGTTTTTAGGAGATGTAAAAATGTTCGCTAGTGAAAAATTAGTAACTAATTGAAGGATTTTCCAATAATCCATATAGGGAGTATTTAAATACTAGCAAAAAAAGGAAAAAAAAGAAATTTAGCAGAATGAGTGAATAAAGCCTTCTTTGTGTAGGTGTATCATCTATTCATTCATGGTTGTTGTACCCACTGTAATGTCAGCAAAAGCCCCTGTGCATCCTTAATCTAATGGAAACCTCTGTCATTGATGGTAGAAAGCCATAATTGGGTTTGGGGAAGCAGAGCTGTCCTTGGGCAGAGCTGTCTCAGAATAAACCCCAGCAGTGTGCTTTTCTCAACAAGAAAAGCAAGAATTCAGTAACTTACCCTCTGACCAGGATGAGATGATGATAAGATGCAAATTGTAAATCTAAAAGTTGCTTTGAGTTCACTGTATTTTTAGAGCTATCCTACTTCAAGTTCACTATGACAGCTTATCGGGAGAGGCCATTATTCAGAAGTCTGATAGAGACTTTAAATGAAGTGGAATCTTAGCAGCTATGCCAATTTCTTTATCATGATGGGGAAAGATTCCATTGGAAAATGCACTGTGATAAATGCAGCAAAGGCTGTTTGCTCTCAAAACAATAAGAAATCCCATCTGTAAGTGTATAGTAGTATCTGCTTTAAAAGAAATTCAGACTAGAGAATACACAAAGCATTACATATTTGCTGAATTCTAGTGAGTAGAAAACATGATTAATTTATATGTCGTTATTGTATTTTCCAGAAATTGTGCATCTTTGACAGTTTTGGAACCCTAGTGTTTGCAGTATTTATGGGAGTATGGGGTAAGTTATTTTCCTTTTTTTTTTTTTTCCAGTTTACTTTTATATCTTAACATTAAAAAAAACAAACCTGAGATCGTATAGGCATCTAATTTAATAGCATTTCACAGTTTTATATAAGCTATCAAAGTAACCTACTTTTAGGACCTTGGATTCCCCAAGCTTCAGCTCCCTTAGAGCTCCATTTACAACTCTAAAGACCAATGTATGAATTACTGCATAAAAAACTACTTGAAAATATGGTTACTTAAAACACACATTTATTATTTCTCATGATTCTCTACATCAGCTGGGGTGTTCTCCAGTCACATGCTGACTCAGCTGATATCTGCAGTAAGCTAGCAGCTCCGCTGGGGTAGATGGTCTGGCAGTCACCAGTCTGGTTTGGTCTATGGGGCTCAGCTGGGCTGGCTAGTCTTGATCTACATGGTGTCTCATCCTCCAGTGAGGGTTCTTCACATGGTGGTTTTAGGGTACCAAAGAGAAGCAAGAGAGGGCAAACCCCAATACACAGACATTTTTTGAGTCTGTTGATGCATCAAGTTTGTGAATGTCCCATCAGCCAAAGTAGGTCATGGCCAAGCCAACAACAATGTGAGGAGGTCAGAGGACTGACTGTCCAAGGACTTGGATACAGGGAGACATGGTTCATTGGGAGCTATTATTGTAATAGTCCCCATAGCTGTGATCCACCCTGACTTTCATGGGGTTGGGGTTTTGGGGGAAGCCACAACACAGAGATTACAGGTAAGCTTTCTTCTTTATACTCTTTTATATGAGTGAGTATTTAATAAGTATATGTTACTATTATAATAGTAAATAATAATAATAAACTATTTAATAAATATAGTCCTAAAGAATATAATTCTTCTGTAGGTGCTTAACACTATAGTTGTATTATTTACTTTGAATAGCATCATTAATATAATGAGGCAATTACCATTTTCTTTAAATGCAGACATTTAAATGTTTAATTGACATAAATGTTCTACCATAGAAGAAAAAAATTCCATTTTCACAGACAAATGTGCTTCCAGTTTTATTGTGTAAGTCAAGGGGGAGCTAGAGCTCAGGTTATATAGATAGCTGGGAGAGGAACATGACTCGGGTCTCTTAGTCTTGAGAAGACGACACATGAACACATGTAGCTCACGAAACAGTTCTTCCTCAGTGTCCTCGAGAGCGTTTCGCTTTCACAGTGGTTATGCCTATTAGAAGTCACCAAATGGATCCCAGAACAGATGATCCAATAGTTCCGGGCACTGTTTACAGATTAGTTGCCGCTCCTGGGGAAAGTAAACTATAAGATGGCCAAACTTACCTACAAAGTTATTGTCCTGCAGACATTTACCTATGTTTTGGCTACAGACCAAACACTAGCTAATATTTGACACATAGAATAAAGATCAAATTTGTGCATTAAGATCCTCTTTACCCCTCCATTGTAAAATATATTTCTTTTGGGGCACCTGGATGGCTCAGTTGGTTAAGCGTCTGACTTCGGCTCAGGTCATGATCTCGTGGTCTGTGAGTTGGAGCCGTGCGTCAGGCTCTATGCTGGCAGCTCGGAGCCTGGAGCCTGCTTCAGACTCTGTGTCTCAGTCTCTCAGCCTCTCCCTGCTCACGCTCTGTCTCTCTCTCCCTCTCTCTCAAAAATAAATAAATGCTAAAAAAATAAGTTTTTTTAAATGTGTCACTTTTATCCTCCCCCTAGTAAGAGCAGAGGTACCGAACACCTGGGTGATGGTCCTTTTAACAAACCAGCACTGATTTGTAAAGTATAAAATTCTGACACATCTGTTGAACTCCATATATATCCTAATGCATGTTGACAGCCCTAATTTAGAAATACATTGTAAATAAAGCAAAAATTTATAAATTAATCTTGGCACTGCAAAGATAAACCTCAAATTTCCTAGCTGACTTTGCTTTCTGTGACCATCAACTCTACCATGTTTGTAGAACTGACTTAAGCATATTCAGCTGACTTTATTTCATCAGATTTTAGGATGCAGAAAACATTTCAACACTGCTTGTAGCAGCATATGTGCATCTTTAAGGATGTGTATGTATGATGAAGTCTTTATTTTTAAAGTGTATCATATTGCTTTTCCTGTTACCTCTGCCCTTATGATAACCGCTGCTGTGAACCTTGTTATGGGAAATCAGAAATTGCAGAACCAAAGAGGCAGGAGGACCATGTGAAGTCTTTTATATCACTACCATTCATATTCCTCTAGCATCTCTTGTGTGCCCAGGTCTATTAGAGTATTGTTAGTAGTTTTGGCTCCCTCAGAATTCTAAAAGTTGAGGGCTGTAAGCCTTTTGTAGTAAATGTAGCACCAACCATATACTTACCTGAAAAACGTCCACCCTTTTAGGCCAAGCCAGCCCACCCGTTCATACTGACTTGGAGTCCTAAACCCATGGCGGAAGTACCAGTTGCTAACATATCCGCTCCTCCTCATTCCTTATTGCTCCTTACCTCCTTCCATTGGATTCTCCCTGGCTCCAGGCTCTTGGCTGCATGGCTGCATGGCTGCAGTTTTTAATTTTCACCTTGGAGTCTTGGGCTTGGCCTAGTGATGTCCAGAAAAACACCAGACACTTGGCTTATGGGGGGGCTGGGGAGTCAGGAAGGCATTATCCTAACCTGCTACACTTGGGGATCAGGAAACAGCTATAGCCAGTTAGTTCGAGAACTCACTCTACTGTTCCCACTGCATCCACACCAGCACAATAATGCCGCTCCTGCAGCCATCTCTGCCTCCATTCAACTCTGTTTCAGATTTAAGTGACACATAAATGCATCTGATGGGCATTTTATAAAATCATATCAGGAACCCCAGCTGCAAGAAAGTCTGAAGCCATGTGGTTTTTAATCTAGTCTTAGTTAGGAAGTTGGAATAGAGGCTGGGCAAAGCTCATCTATCTTACTACCTTTGTGAGTAAAGAGGTCTAACTCATTTCAAGGCCTCATAAAATATCCCTGCTCTCCAGCAGTAAACGTCTAGTGACTAGAACACTACCACGTGCTACAGTGTACCCCTTGTCCTTGGACACCGCTGGATGGCACCACCAGTGCTGTATATGGCTCTCTTCTTCATGTGATGCATACTTTCTTTAGATGTAGTAATACCTTAAGAGGACAAGCTGTTCTTGCTTCCCAAGGTCCTAGGCAGCCTTCCCTCTTCTCCATTACATGTTGATGTAAGAGCCCTTGTCTCTCTAATCAATAAGTGCCTCATGGTGTGTGGTTTGCCAGAGAACATAGGTGCAGTGCTCCCTGCCAGAGGAAGAGCGATCCAAAGACATAGGACAGGAAATTCCTTTCTGACATCATGCACAGTCACCCGAGGCCCTGGTGCTCTGGGCTCCCCAGCAATGTGCATCGGCAGTGCTGTGGCCCATGAGCAGTCTAAAACCTTGAGTGGTTATTATACGTTACCAATGTCTCCATGGGCCCTGAGAACTAATGCCCAAGGGTTTTGTAGACTTCACCCTCCAATGTCCCGCCTAGCTAAGGAGCAGGCAGCTTGAGGCAATACCACATGGTGAGGAAGCAGAGCTTGGGTTCTGGAGCCAAGAATGCCTGGGTTTGATTCCTGCCTCCAAAACTGTAACCTCGGGCAAGTATTTTAACCTTTCTGTGCCTCTCTCTCTTTGTGTCTAAAATGAGGAGAGTGATAGTTACCGTAGAGGGGTGTGAGGGCTTTTACCTATGTCATTAAGTTCATAACAGCCCTGTGAGGTGGGTCTTCTTGCCCCCCATTTTACAGAAATGGAAGGGGTGGGGCTCAGAAAGTTGGAACATTTTGACCAGGAGTCACACATCTGATAATTGTCAGAACCAGAATTTGAACTTGATTCCAACATCTGGGTTATTTCTACTCTCACTCATTGTACTGGAAAATTAGTAAAGTTAAAACAAACACCGCTGGGAAGTGAGTGCTTTCCCGATTTCAGTTGTCTTCACCACTGGGGAGTGCTCAGTTCATGCCACTAGCAGCCACTTCCCAGGGTCTCCTTCTTTATCTCTGGCTGCCCACCTGAGATCTGCAGGATGTCAGGCCAGCTTCTCTCTGCTCTCCACTCTGGCAATTCTCAACTCTGACTGATGTTAGACCTTTGAGACAAAACAAAACACAATGTTCATGCCCCTATTCTAGTCCAATATAATCAGAAACTCAGGGATGGTGCCTGGGCTCACTGTTGTTTTTTTTTAAAGCTCCCAAATGCTTCTCATGTGCAGCCAGGATGAGACCCACCCCTCTACACCTCATTTAGTGATCTCATCCATGCCTGGCCTCAGTTACTACTATAAAAAGTATCCGGTTCAGGGGCACCTGTGTGGCTCAGTCAGTTAAGCATCCGACTCTTGATTTCAGCTCAGGTCATGATCCCATGGTTCATGAGTTTGAGTCCTTCATCAGGCTCTGCGCTGACAGTGTGGAGTCTGCTTACGAGTCTCTCTTTCTCTCTCCCTCTCCCTCTCCCTGCTCACGTTCTCTCTCTTTCAAAATAAATAAACTTAAAAAAAAAAGTTCCTGGCATACCTTAGATCTTTCTCCCAAGTTGTAGACTTTTACATACCTACTAGACATCTTTTCTGTGGCCCAGAGGCACCTGGTTAGAACCAAACTTGTTGCCTTCTTGGACTCACTCCTCTTATAGCCCTTCGCATTGTGGGGTATGGTGCTAGAATTTAGGACATTGCCCAAGCCAGAAACATGGCTGGCATCCTAGACCTCTTCCTTCCCTTTACATACCTGCATCTTTCCAACCATTCTTCCTGCCAAATGTGCTGTCTTCTCTCACCTCCCCACCTAAGCAATCAGGTCTCCCTGCCTCTAGTCTCCAGACCACCTGCAATATCCCCTCTTCCTTTAAGTTACAACCTGAACTTCTTTCAAGGCATAGAGTCCTTTTTGATGTGCCCCGGCGATCTCTCCACTGGCTGCCCCAACCTTCCTCATTATACCTTGCACTCACTTCCAGATATTTGCAGTTGCTGGAAAGTATCTGAGTCTCTGGCTTCCTTGCCTGTGCATGCACAGCTCCCAGGGGAG